CTGAACTGTTCCAGATGGGAGAAGTTCGAGAAACGAGGTTTGACTGTACTAAACAGAAGACTATAAATATCCCTTTTACATTTTAGGATCTATTTTGTTTGAAAAGATTCAAGTTTCTTTCAATAAAGTTGAGATGGAAAAATATTCGTTCTTTGTAATCTTTACCAGATGTTGTTTATACTACAAGCAACTTTTTTTCAGTACTCCATAATACAATTATTATTTAATTAGTGATAAATCTGTCATTTCTAGGCTTAAAGAAAAACCCAAAGAAGTTAACAAGTACCAAATGTACTTTTGTGTTTCAAATTTACCCGTGTTCTCTCAGAGCATTCAGACACAGGCATGCGTTCAGGATGCTCAACAAAACCCCTCAAGTCTGAAGTTCCTCTTCCAGCCTGGCCCAGTGGCCTCTGCCCAGTTAGCTGGTGCAGCCTGAGGGGCCAGACAGCTCCACTGCCCCCTGCTGCTTCTCAGCTAGCCTCTTAGTGGCAATGACTTCCCGGGTCGACCTCTGCCCTGTTCTTATTATTTGTTTTTTAATTTTTCTCTCTCCCTTCATCTCTGGTTGAAAAGTCCTCCATTCCCAACAGTGAAAACAGAATTTGCCATCTGGGCCTTTTTCTTCACAGAAACAATGCTGGGGGATCTGGTGCCCCCCCGAGGTGGACACTGGGAAGTGCAACTACTGTGGGAGAAGCAGACATGAGCACAGGCAGCCAGGCCCTTCCCTATTGGACCACTGCTAAATTATCTACTTCAGCATTTCTTAAATCACATGCATCACATTAAAGAAGAAATGTTTAAAAGACTGCTAATGGAAAAGCAGGAAAAAAAACCCCTAGAGCATTAGTAAGAGTTACTAAGCACAGACAACTGACATAACCCACGATGTGGAGCTAAATTCAACATGACCTTTTATTAAAGGGGAATTGTGCTTGGAATTTTGTGAAAAGGGAGTTATTTTTCTTATGAAGCGGCTCTCTGGAGAACGAAGACAAGAAGGTATACCACCTCACATCAAGGCGACATATTCTTTTCATTTCTTAAGCTCTTATTCGATGAAGAAGTAATTCATACCCACCCCGGTTTAATCGAGACATACTTGGGACAAAGAACTAATTTTAATTAGTTGTGAAGACTTTCAGGTAGGATAGAATATGAGGAGTGTTTTTTGTGAGGAGTATTATTTAATTTAAAATCTGAGTAAACAAAAACAAAAACCACCCCCGCCTCCTTTCCGCTCTCTACTCTGCTCAGACCCCGCGCTCTGGTGGGCGAGTGTGTCCCGGGAGGTGCGGCAGGCGGTGTGTGAGGCCTGCCAGCGAGGGGCGGACGGAGGGCATGGAACCAGGTCCCTCTCGGCCTCAGTGTGCAGCAGGGCAGCTAAGCACAGTGCCCCCTGCTACTGAGCCAGCACTTTCCATTCAAACGTGGGGAATAAACAATAGCCTCTTTGGAAACCAGACGTCAAGAAAGCTGTGTAACTACCCAGTGGCACTCTCTGCGTTTGGTGAGATCAGTCTTTAAGGTCAGGTCTGAAGCTATGCGCAGGAAACACAAGACCATTTGATTTTGTTTCTTATTCTTTAAAAATATATATTTTTTGAGATCAGAGAGGACTTTTAAAAATATATACTTTGATTGATTTCAGAGGAGAAAGACCATCTGCTTTTAAAAAGTGTCAATCTGCACAGTAAATGACAAACCAAGTTTAACACCGTGATGCACTTAGGAGCCACAAACTGTGACAGGTGGACATGTACTTGGGGGCAGTCCAGCTAACAGAAACCTAACCGTGAGTCTCAAAAGTAAATTTATTTTTACTTTAGAAGTCATATATGCATATAAATATGCATTGAGAATTCAGGTGACATTCAATTAGTGCCTTATTATTCACAGTCTTAATGGAAAACATCAGGCCTCTGAGTCCCTTAAAGGCCAAAGAACACTTGGGGAGATCGTTTCACTTTATACAAGCTGTAATACACTACCAACCCCTCCTCTCTCCTCCCCCCCCCCCCCCCCCACACACACACATTTTGGCAACTATAGAATTTCCAGGGCTAAATCTGGAGAGTCCCAAGAGAGGAAACATAATTAACAGTGCTCCATATAAAACACGAGTTACGTGGACCATCACACTCTAATTACTCTCAGAACCCAATCCGATGTACTCGGCATCACGTTTCTTCCGGAGGGAAGCTCAGCAGCCTGCGCTACCTGAGCCTCCCGGCTCCCACACTCCGGCACGGCTGTCACTGCACCGAGATGCCACGGCGACAGATGAATCAGATGATGCAATCAGGAGGCAAGCTCGTCAGGTTACCTGCCCTCCGAATCCCTCCGTCACGTCACAGGCTTATTCCAGCCTGCCTGGTTTCCTGGCCCTGCAGGCCAGGGCGGCCGAGGAGAGCAGCCCCGCCATCAGCTCTGTGCTGCAAATGCCTCCTTGACCCACAAGGCACGGAGAGGTCACATCCTGCCAATGCCACAATAAATTACGCCAAATAACACCCTCTGGAACTTCCCTTTCACCACAGAGGAAGCTCTGAATCTCTACACATCATCCGATAAATGCGTCTGTACATCCACTGACTTCCAGGCTGCTGCACGGGGGAAGACTGTTTAAGGTGCAAACTGGAGACGGAAGGTCGTACGCTGAGTGTTAGTGGGAGTGCCGCCCCCTCAGTCGCAGCAGTATCTGCAGGGAAGTGCTGCTCGGGCCTGCAGGCCACAGGTGAGAGAGGCACGGAGGCGGTTCAGAGACCCACAAGCACCAATGAAAGGCACAGACTCAAACCAAATCGGAAAGTTCACTGGAACTGGCACTTTTCTACAGAGAGAAGACAGGCAAATCTAATAAAGCACTTAAAAGCAAGGAAATGGCCACTGAACAAGGACCAGAGAAAATTAAATTAGAGCATGTTCATTTAAGTTAGAAATAGAGAGACTTACTGGATAATAAAGGTAGTGCCTGGAATGGGATGCTGGGGGCTTCTGAAAGTCTTTGTTTATTTTGAATTTTATTGTAATTATTTTTATATAAGGCACATTTTTATTTCTCACCTTAACATGTAACTCTTTTGAATGGTGAAATCCCTTAAAAAAAACAATACCTCTGCGCTCTCTCAGGCTTTTTTTTTTTTTTTTTTTTAAGTCAAAGAGCTTGTTTTCTTTTTCTTTTAAAACATTTTTATAAAGAATAGTTTACTGATTTTTAAGAGAGAGGAGAGCCCTAGCTGGTTTGGCTCAGTGGACAGAGCAGTGGCCTGCAGACTGAAAGGTCCTGGGTTCCATTCCAGTCAAGGGCACATGCTGAGTTGTGGGCTGGATCCCTGTAGGCGTGAAAGAGGCAGCCAATCAATGATTCTCTCTCATCAATGTTTCTATCTCTCTCTCCCTCTTCTTTCTTTTCTGAAATCAATAAAAATACATTTTTAAAAAAGAGACAGAAATATCAATGTGAGAATGAATGGCTGTCTCCTGCAAACTCCTTACAGGAACTGAGCATGTGCTTTTGACCAGGAACTGAATTGGCAACCTCCTGGTGCACTGGACGTGGCCCAACCAAACAAGCTACACCAGTTCTCTCAGTCTTTATACCTAGCTTCCTTCCTTCTCTCCCTCTCCCCCGTTACCAAAATCCCCATCAAACAATATAAGTTTCCAAACCAGATGGGCTCAGTTTGGGCCAACTAACTTGTGGATGAAAGCAGCATGCCTACTGATGACCGTAACACTGTCCACAGCCACCTGAGGGGTGCAGGCAGAGGAGCCAAGGACATTGGACAAAGCTGAGCATGACATGGGCAATCACACCCACCCACCGGTGGGAAGGATGGGGGCCTAAAAGGAGCAATTGATATAGGAAGAAAGCAGCTGATTCAATTATGATTCCCTTATGCAGCCTCCGACTTGAAAGACAAAGAAAACAGAAAGTTCAAATGTTTTAACAAAGAGAAAGTGCCCGAGAGACGGGCACTGCATGAACCTAGCTAACCTCAGACCGTGCCTTGCACAGGGCTTCTCGCCTCCCAGGTCCCAGCCTCCTGGAAGGGTGAACACTCTCTGCCCAGGTTCCTGGCTACCAACCAGCCTGAGATGGGAACTCATGTGCCCCATCCACACAAAAGGAGGCGCGCTCTGCGCTGTGTCTCCCCCGCGACCAAAGCCAGTGAGAAAGCATGTTAGAGCCACTGGGGTCCTGGGAGCAAGGCAGCTCCTTGTAGTTTCTGGACTGTTCCTTCAGGGCACAGTCTTCCTTCCAGAGCCGCCTGCCGCGGGCCAGGTTCTGAGGACCGCCTGAGGCGCCCAGCCTCGCCGCCCAGGCCTGCGGCCCGAGAACAAGGCGGTCACTGTACGGAGCCAGATTTCAAGCCTGGCAGGCGTATGCCAAAAGAAAACTTACAAAATTCTTAGTTGTTTTCATTGTTTAAACCATTTTCCTGGAGTTCTGTTTTATGTCTCTTGAGTATTTTATTTTTCCTCTAGTGAAGAGCTAAATGTTTATTTTTGAAAGTTTTTCATTGTTAATTGATTCCTCCTCTGGTTCTTAAAATCTTTATTTTTAAAACTTATTTTTCATGTTGAAATAAGAAATATTTAAAAAGTAGTTGTCTACATATAAGGTCTTAGGAATATGCCATATAAGGTACAATAATCCAATAAATCCTGAATCTCTCCATATTTTCTAAATATGCTCTAGATATGCAGAAGAGATTCCTATGTTAGGTATTTTTAAAATAGACTGTAAATATATCAAATAGATCAAAAGGTAGCAATTGCTCTTTTGTTTAGGTAGGGTATATAAACAATGCACACACATACATTTTTTGATAGCTCAACTGATGTTTCTTTCTTTTCAGATTTAATCCATTGGAATCAATAATCAAGGTGTGTACCCCGTATTTTCCCCCTTGCTCTGACTAAATGAAATGATAACTGATACTCAGCATCTACTTTAAGGATTTTTCTCCTCATCAAAGTCAGGCACGTACCAGCAATGACTGTCTCATGAGGCATTCGGTCCTTGTCAGAGAAGTTCTCTCGCTGAAGATTAGCTTTTCAAAAAGGTGCAGCGTTGCTTTTTCAAGGCTGGGAAGGTGTCGAAGCCAAAGGCAGACGACTGCTGACTTGGGGAGAAGAATCTTCTTCCTTTCAGGAGGAAAGGAAATTTTAAGTAGAAATGGGTTACAGAAAAAAGGAGATTAAGAGAGTTCAAAATGCAAAAATGAATTCAATCTGTGAGTCCTTTCCTCATGGTCATAGCGGCAGCTAATACTTATAGTATCAATGATCATTGACCAAGTATGTGTTTACAAAATAATGTGAATGTGCTTCTGCTTCAGCTTAAGAAACTAGGGAAATGCTCAAAGGGGGGGGGGGGGAAGCTTTCAAAAAGGATAAGCAAATGTATAGTGATGGAAGACAGAGTGTGAAAAAATGAGGTAGGCAGAGGCCTTAAGGTATCTAGGTGCATGCAGTCTCTAATTTAAAAATAGTTATGCCTGAAAGTGGGTCTGACTCTCAGGGCTAATAGTATGACTTTGGGAACGTGACTTACCCTCTAAACCTCAGTTTACATTTCTATAAAATGGGCCTATTTCCCTCACAGTATCTTCAGAAGGATCAAATGCAATAACAACACATGTACAGTGATTTACACAGTGCTTGACACCAAGTAAATATTCAGTAACTGTATCTGTAAATTGTGGCTTGAAAGTTAAAATGTATTTTTCTTTAATAACAATTTCACAGATGGTGGTTATGACCTATTTTAATCCATAGCTGATCCACAGCATGATGCTCTATAGACTGCAACCATTTGTGCAGCGCAGTTTCTGATAGATCCTCCCTTCCCCCAACTGGTGGGCAGAGTATGAGGTAACCTGCACCTGAGGCCTGGACATACCTGAGCACCTCACCAGGCACCTTCTATGGACCATACAGTAAGCCACCCATCAGCGCGGGCCGAGTCCACTAAGCCCTCATTCCTTCCCATCCTCCCCTCGAAAGGCGCGTCCCCTCTGCTCGTGCTGCTGCTCTCCCCTTGCGAGACAGCCCGGCAGGTCCTTCTCCTCTGATAAAGCCTGTGGGCCTGGTTTTCGCCCTCTGTCTGACCTTTCAGTTTCTATTAGAAAACGTTTTTGGAGGCTCCTCCCGTGTGTATGAGGGGACCCGCTTTCCCTTCCGGGAAGAGCATGAGGGGCCACTTGTCTAACTCTGAGCCACCGGCCTATCCGGGCCTGGCAGGCCTTCTCTGTCCTCCAGCCTGCTTTCCGAAGTCTCAGCCTCTCCCCAGTGGCGCCACAGACAGCAGTGCTTTCCATGTTCTGCCAAAGATGTTCACTGTCTTTAATAAGCAAAACACATGCTGGGGCACTGAGTGCAGGCCATCGAGGGTGCAGGTGGCAGGTGCTGGTGGGGCTGGGACCAGGGGCAGTGGGAATGGAGAGCATCTGAATGCACTTTACACCGAGAGAAACTGGCAATGCGTTTGACGAGAGGTGGAGCAGGTGAGGGAGGAACCATGGCGATCCCAGGTTTCCTGAGTAAGGAGATGGGTGAGCACTGTTTATTCACCTAGAAAGAAGGGTCGGTAACGAGATTTGGGAAGGATGTGTGAATTTGGCACCTCCGAGGCATCATCCAACTGAGGTATGAAATAGGTTCTCGAATATCCAGGTTAGAAGTTCTGGGGAGAGGGCTGGGCTATTGTACATCAGGGAGCCGCCAGGTGAACAGAATGGCGGGAGAATGAATGGGAACTCCTTGGAGAGAGGCTGAGTGCGGGGCAGGGGGCCGGGCCTGTGCCCTGAGCATCGCCAATGGGCACAGGAGGAAGAGGAGTGGCAGACAGGAGGAAGACAGGCAGGCAGAGAGCACACACAGAGGAAGAGGGCCGCTGAGAGGCCTGCGGAGGGGAGCAGCACTGCTCTGCGCAGGCCTCCCTGGCCTCCCGGAGAACACTGAGCTGGAGGCGGAAGGCGGAGTCCATAGGAGAGGGAGTGGAAATGAGCAGAACTGCAGTCAGGAGGATGGCTGTACAGGGAGCGCCACCAGAAGGCAGCACGGGGGTGTGGGTGGCCCCGTGTGCGCCTGCGAAGTGGTGTTGCGGTCTCAGGACAGCACGCGGCCTGCTGAGGGGCCAGAGGCAGAGGGACGCATGGGGAGGCTGAAGAAGCCATTGCTACCACTTATTAAGGGCTTGCCTGGGATGATGGTAAGCATTTTATCTGTATTTTAACCCCCATAACAATCCACAGGGACAAAACAGGGACAATTATTATCCTTAATTTATAGACAAAGGCAACTGAGGTCAGAGAGGACCAGGACTGACAGCTCTGATTTGAATCAGGAGGTCTGACACTATAGCTGGTCTGCAGCCTCCAGGTACAGGTCTCCCCACTCTGCAGGCAGGGGAGTGGAGGGTGCTCAGAGGAGGGGCCTGGCTGGGGGGCTGCCTCACAGCTCTGCTGTATCACATGGAGCTGTTTCGCACTGAATAAAGTTTCCTTCCTCACATCACCCCCAAGTTGGGGCTTCCTGTGCGCATTGAACTGGTGCCAATGTTCATCGGTTGACAATACGTACCGTACGTAGTCCTCCCTTATCTATGGGGAGTATGTTTCAGGACCCGAGTGAGTCCCTGAAATGGAGATAGTACTGAACCCATATATACTATGTTTTCCCACTACATATGCATACCAACGATAAAGTTAACTTATAAGTTAGGCACAGTAGGAGAATAACAGCAACAATTAATAAAATAGAATAATAATAATATACTGTAATAAGTTAATGTAAATGTGATCTTTCTCTCAAAATACCTTGTTGTGCTGCACTCACGCTTCTTGTGATGAAGGGAGATGATACAATGCCTACGTGATGAGATGAAGTGGAGTGAATATGGTGGTCAAAGGGACGATTTCATCATGCCACTCAGAATGGCATGTAATTTAAAACCTGATGAATTGTTTATTTTTGTAACTTTCCATTTAATCCTTTTGGACTGCAGTTGACTGCAGGTAGCTGAAACCATGAACAATTGGGGGCTACTATAATATTTTTGTTCTATTCTTGGACACAGTTTGGAAAATGTGTACATTAACACTTTTCTCAACCAGAAAGATCAAGGACCACCTCATCTGCCAGAGAAGCCCACGCAAATGGAAGCCAGCTTCTCTGGAGAACTACTTAATTCCAAGAAACTGGGAAGAATACTTACTATCATATCTCAGAGGTATACGTCCATTAAGACCTGATGGAGTATGTACAAGGGGGGGTGGTTTACAGTCATGAGTACACTAACATTTATTCTCATTTATTTTTCTATTATATATTTCTCCATACATACAGCTATACACCTACTTTTGTTTATATACACCTTACATATTAAACGAGAAAACTGTGCCATCATTGTCATTTAAACTGGCAGAAAAGTCACTTCTCAAGCAAAGAGCAGCAACACCAAGGCTATGTCTAAGTCCAAACATTAGTTCTTTTCAGCAATGGGGATTTAGCTTACGCCTGACCTTAGATCAGTGATGTTTTCATTAGGAAGAAAAGACATAAGCTTGAGAAAGCTAGTAAAACATTATCAAAAGTAACAATTTTTTAAATCAAAGTCAATGACAACAATGTTAACAGTTATTGGCTGTTTACTCTAAGTGCCAGGCACTGTGCTAAGCGTATCACAGGCACTGGACCCACTTAAACGCATCCAGTGTGCCTGGGAAAAGCGTATGCCATCTCACCATCATTACAAAAGGCGCCCTGTTTCACTCTCAAAAGTTTCATGGTCCACAATTCACAACTGCACAGTCACCCTACTTAACACTCACAGCTACCCCATAAGTCTGTTGGTCGGTCAGCCATGCTCCCATTCCCTCTTTCATTTGCTGACTGGCTCATTCATTCCAGCGTATAGAAAAAAGTACCCTATCCAGTCCAAACTTCTCAATATTTTTGAAGCAATGGATGTTGATTTGCTTTAGGACGTATCTTGTGGAATTACTTGTACTCCACAGACTTGAGGAAGGACCTCAGCAGCCCTCCCAGGAAGGTTTTATGCACTCTGCTGTCTGCAGATGGTATGATGGCAATCCCATGAAGATATTCTAAAGTTAGGTTTGACATTTAGGCCAAGAAGTAAAAAAATTCCTCTAGATTATATAAACTACACAAAGGGACAAGCATCTATTGCTTAAAAGAATACAGGCAGCCTGTTTCTGAAAAGGCATGACTGCATTTAGAAGCCAAGGCCAAAGACACTCAGCCAATTGTAAAACAGATGTAACTCCACTGGTGTATTGTGGGAAAAAGCTGAAAGGCTAAATACCGGGCAGGCACAGTAGTCAAAAAAGTATGTGGTTTCTAAATGACCACGCAGCACAATTGGGGAACTGCTCAAGGGGTGGGGGAGGAAGGCGTTGGGGGTGGGGGTGGTATTTACTCTGAGTGACTGAATCAGCTATCCTGTGTCAACGTGTGGCCAGGATCTCCACCTACGGGCATGTGTCCATGGAGAGGCTCCAGGTCTTACGCCATTGCTGAGGGGACTTGCTGAGCTGAAGCCATAGGAGTTGGACAAGGTGAAGACCACCCAGCATTTCTGGACAGTCTGTTCTGTATGGAATTCCAAACTGAATAACTTTTATTAGTTGCTGAGGGAGAATGCGTTATCACAAGTAAAATAAATAGCGAGCAGTTTGGACCTACTCATGGAACCGCTGCCTCTGCTTTCCTCCTGAGCATTGTGGGTAGAGTAAGAGTGGCTACTCTCTAAGCATCTCTCTTCCTCGCCAATAATTTCTAGAATAGTTTTGTGGGTTTCACAGAGGAAGTAGAGGGCCAATCTCCCTCTTCCTTTTAATTCAATGCTTGATGAAAAAGTAAGGCAGAATATACTGGATACTAAGATCATATCCTATATAAGAAAGAACTAATATGTTAATTAGACCAAACAGTGGAACAACTTTCCGGAATGATCAGTGGGTGAGGCAGCCGGGACCGCAGGTGCTGAGCCCCTTGCACAAATTTCATGCATTGGACCTCTAGTTCTTTAATAAAATGCATTACTATATAAATCAGAAATAGAGCTGCAAAAGTGAAAGGCAAAGAGCATTTTACTTTAAAGTAAATATTTTGAAAAA